TTTTCAGAAAGATGAAAAAAATGAATTCCCAAATGCTCAAGTCAAAAATACTTACATACTATTATGTCAGAAAGAAAACAATATCTGCTTGATCTTCTTTGTATTTCTTCCTCTGTAACTGGCATTAGGAGAAAAATAATGGGAAAAGACTCCTACAATGCAACCTATAATAATTAGACTCCAAAGTAACCTTATCATTATCTATCATGAATAATTATTCACATTTCTTGACTTGTCTATTTTTAAGCCTTATCAATTGTGTTAAAACTGATTAAAATGGTCTAAATATATTTTTAAAAATATGGGGGTATTATAGGATTAAGATGTCTAATAAAACACATTTTGTGATTAACGTCTCAGAAGAATCCCTTAAGTATTAAGACCTACTTCTTTAGGCCCCTGTAATACACAGTTTATTCTGGAATAGCGGCAAGTCATTGAAGTTAACATTTTCTCCTTATTCCTACAAATAGCATAGAATATATTCTAACTACATGCCATGAAATTAAAACAACAGACCATGACTAGGAGGAAATTACAGGTTTATCTTACATTTGCAAAGATTTTTAAGAAGGTAACACGTATGGAGAAAGTAATGAATATTAAACCTTTCAAATACCTACAGTGATTAAAACACTCTTTTTACTCTTTTTTTGGAGAGGTTTTTGCTATAGGGCACATGCACTTGCCAGACAAAGAGAGACAGAGAGATAGAAAGTGAGAAATCACCCCCCAGAGGGGATGGCCACGCCACAATCCCTTCTCCTCCATTCTCCTCTTGGGATCTTGGGCACGTACGCACACGCGCCTGATGTGAGTTTAAGCCACTGCGTCCAGGACTCGAACCGCGGTCGACTACGTGGGAGTCCAGCAACATAGCCATTATGCTAACTGCTGGTCCCAACACTCTTTTCACTCTTACGGCAGCAACTCTCCAACCAACATAAGATTTCTGTTCCATTTGAACAGAGAGACTCTGAGAGAAGTTTAACAGGGTCAAGCCACACAGAATGGGACGTTTGAAAAATAGAAGAAAACCAAGAGAAAATTACTAAAGTAATTGAGGATGTCCTGATGTTAAAAGCATCTGCAGTGTGAACATTGTAACGCCATATTCCAAGCCACGGTCCATGGACCAAAAGCCATCAGCTTCATCTGGGAGGGATGGAGCAGAAGGTGTAAACATTGTAATGCCATACTCCAAGCCACGGTCCATGGACCAAAAGCATCAGCTTCATCTGGGAGGGATGGAGCAGAATCTCAAGCCCTACCCACCAACCCTACGTAATATCCTCTTTTTCCGTGAAGACTGTCATGTGGTTCATGTGCACCTTAAAGTTTTAGAAGCACTACCGCAGTGGAGAAGTACTCTATAACTTAATGCTTATATGATCCTCTGTGACTGCAAGGAAACCAACATACTGGATCAATTTTTATGGTAAATGACCACAGCAAACATTCTCTAGACTGGAAGTTCCAGTAGGGGTTGTACGTTCATCTTTTTTGCATCCTCGGCATGAGTATAACGCCTTGCTCAGAGCTGGCCCAGTGAGGATAAATAGTGTTACAATAAAAAGAAGTACAGTCATGCTAGTGATGCTATATGAACAAGTTAAAATGGTTGGCCCAATAGGCAAGTTCAAGGACATTCAACAGGGACACATGAAAAGCAGAGTAAGTGAAAATATGAGAACTGTTTGCTCAGATACATAATAGGAAAAACTTGTCAAATGCTTAATCAAGAAAGAAGCACCTAGTAAGTTTTGAACATTAAGATGCATAACCTAATCATCTGATAACTGGGTAAACGGGCAATATGATTTTATGGTGCACAAAAATTCCCAGCATATGAAGCCCTATTACTGGTTCATTATTCTGGTTAAGTTTAACTAGAAGTATATGCTCTTTGATGAAGAATGTAAAGCAGTTTCAGAATCTAGACTATGAAGTGGATTTAAGATAATAGTTGATTAGGAAAATGAAGGGCATTAGGGAACAGTGAAGAGGTTGCTAAGTTATTTAATAACAGTTGTTAACAAGCGTACAGTGCAGTTCTGAGCCTAACTACTCAGGTAGGTCCGATGTCTCTGGTGAAGGGCAGTCTCCACAAGACTGCCTTTATTTCAGACACCAGTTACAAGTCTCAGGGGGCCCCTGGTTTCTCATACTTCTAATTAGGTACTAATTTAAGTGTTCCTACTGTCCCCTTAGTTTCGGCAATTCACTAGAATGACTCAGAGAACTCAAGACACTGTATTTCCTATCATCTTCCTTTTATTATGAAGGATACAAATCAAGGCCGGCCAGAAGACTCAAAGCTCAAGATCTGGCCAGGATGCACATACTAAGCTTCTGTAGCTCTGGGAATACATATCCTGGTACGCTGCTATTTATCACCAACCAGGGAAGCTCTCCTATGCCTCTGTGTACAGTTTTTATTGCAGTTTCCCTATGTGGCTCATACAAATTGTTGGTCATGTGACTGAACTTAATCTTCAGCTTCTCTCCCATCCCTGGAGGTTGGGATGATCATTACATAGCCCAAAGTCTCAACCCTGCCAAGTCACATCATTAACATTTCCAGAATGGCCCCTCCCAATCCTGAAACTACCTAGAGACCCACCGTGAATAACAAAGACACTCTCACCAACTGAGAAATTCCAAAGACTTAGAGGCTTTAGGGAACCAGGACCCTGGTCAAATTTCAAGTTATATAGGATATTCTTATTGAGAATTCTGGCTAGACTGCTTTACCTCTAGGTCACCTCTTAATATGATGATCTCCAAGAGTTGGTTACATTCTTCTGCTGTTGTTGTGTTGCACTGAATTATGATGCCCCAATTTAGGACATGTTTCGTATGTTATTTTGGTCTCATGGATTCTTTGCTTTTTGATTAGCTTGAGTGACTACTACAGATAAAAGCATACTGTTTATATCTGTAACAAATCTACCTATATTTAACTAATATTCCATACAAATAATCCTTGCTTATTCAATTAAGACCGTCAAACAAATTCTTTCCTTGTAAATGCCATCAGTCATGGTCTTAGTCTAAGTTATGGCAGCATAATGCAGTATAAATTAAGATGTGTTCCACCTTGGTCTCGCCCTGAGGCCTAGTGGTTAAGGAAGCTGGACCCTAGAAGGCCAAGTAATGTTCAAATCCCATCCCCAGTGGCTTGAAAAATAAGCTGGGTATGTATGTGTGCATGCCCAAAATCCAGATAGGAAGAATAGCGAAGGGATTGTGGCATGGCCATGTCCGGGTGTGTGTGTGTGTGTGTGTGTGTGTGTGTGTGTGGTGCATTGACCCTCTCCCTTTTCTCTGTGGTGAGTGCACACACCTTCTGGCCGTTAAAAATTAATAAAGATCCCTTCCACCTTGAGATATGAAAACTGACAACTTAAAAAAGGATTATCAATGAGAGATAAAACTATTTTAACAAATGGGGCAAAAGAAAACCAGTCAGAACTGCTTATGTTAGACCTTTCTGTTATTATAGACTGCTATTTCACATATTCATATGAGAGGTTAAAAGAACCATCAAAATACAATGGAATTTAAGGAATGGGATTAAGTATTTTAAGTACACTCCTAAAATATAAATTATATTACCAATGGCATAGACGCTAAGCTTTCTTTTTTTTTGGGAGAGGTTTTTGCCATAGGGCGCGTGCGCTCGCCAGACAGATAGAAAGAGACATAGAGACAGAAAGCGAGAAATCACTCCCCCTGGGGGGATGGTCACACCTCAATCCCTTCTCCTCCATTCTCCTCTCGGGATCTTGGGCATGCACGCACACGCACCTGGCGTGAGTTTTAAGCCACCGGGTCTGGGACGCGAACCGCAGTCGACTATGTGGGAGTCCAGCGACATAGCCATTACCTGTGTCTTTCTGGTCCGATGCTAGGCTTTCTTGACTTATACTGAAAATAAAGTTCAGGACCAGCAGTTGGCATAATGGCTATGTTGCTGGACCCTCATGTAGTTGACCATGGTTTGAGTCCCAGACCCAGTGGCTTAAACTCATGCTCAGGCACATGTGCGTGTGTGCCCAAGATCCCGAGAAGAGAAGGGATTGCGGCATGGCCATCTACCCGAGGGGTGATTTCTCGCTTTCTGTCTCTCTCTGTCTTTCTGGCAAGTGCATGTGCCCTATAGCAAAAACCTCTTAAAAAAAAAAAAAAAAAAAGGAAAAATAAATACAAATAATGGGAACAGCACAATGGCGTAATGGTTATGTTGTTGGACTCCCATGTAGCGGACCATGGTTTGAGTCTTGGACCCGGTGGCTTAAACTCACACTGGGCATGTGTGTGCGCATGCCCAAGATCCCGAGAGGAAAATAGAGAAGGGACTGCGGAGTGGCCATGCCCCCGGGAGGTGATTTTTCGCTGTTCCTCTCTCTCTCTCTCTCTCTCTCTCTGTGTCTTTCTGGTGAGTGCACATGCCCTATCGCAAAAACTTCTGAAAAAAAAAAATCCAAATAACTATTCCTTAAGTTCTTTGGTGAATTGTACCAAATTCTTCTTGTAATGCATACTTGAGGTACGATGATGGAGTTTTAAAAAAATCTTGCCTACCTTCTATAGAAAACTTTAAGCATGTCTTTTCTAAAGAATATTTTTAATTTTGAAAAGTGACTCTAAATTCTAAGGTTCATGTTAAGCCATACTCCAACTCCCACGTCCCTCTTTTTAAGTTTTGCTATAGGGCTGTGCGCTAGCTAGGAAAAGAGAGAGAGGGAAAATGAGAACTACCACCCCCGTAGGCAGAGGATGGCCATTTCGCAATCCCTTCTCCTCCACACTTCCTTAAGATTTTGGGCAAGCACATATATGTGCCTGGCATGTTTTTCAGGTCAGCAGGTGCAGAACTCAAACCACAGAGTTGACCATGTGGGATCCAGCCACGTTCATCGCATACCACTGGTTGGCCCCATATCTCTATATTCTACTTTAAATACTACTATACTTCAAATACTACTAACTCATTCTTTGAAAAAACAATCACAGAATTTTATTTATAATCAATATTATTTTCTGCACACTTTAAATCATCCATTTACTCTTAAAACAGAGAATCAATTTAAATAACACCACCACAATGGAATGAAGAAAAAACAATCTGTTATTACATATCAATTTCTTTGATATGTCATTCACTAGTCTTGTCACATGGTCCATGTCCAGTGAAATTTTCAAGAAACTGATAGGAATGACAGTCCTTCATGTTGACATTTTGCTGTAAGATGTGCTACGTGCGGTTCATGATTACTTTGGAAATCGGTTAGTCAAACGAGCGTTCTGAAGAAAAGGCTGATGCCACAAATTACTTCATTCGTAACCCATCCACAAACGTATCAACAACTATATGCCTTCGGATCCTTCAGTTTTCCCAACAATCCCTTTGGAGAGTTAATTGATTATTGTTTCCTTAAAATTCTATTTTAAACAGGATGAACCACTGCTATACTGTTTGTGCCAAAGTTCTTGACTTTCTTGTTTCTACTGCTTTGTTTATCAGATCAAAAAGTGATGGCAGTTTTATTTTATCCATATTTTTGCTGTAAACGTTGAGAAATATACCAAGGACAACTAACAAACCAGACCATACATACCTAAGAGGAAGAAATGAGAAAAAAAGAATATTAAAATGAACAAGTTAACAATTTACTATTAACCACTGAACTTGGCAATCTGCTTGTAGTAATTTTCCCCCAAAAATAAAACTCGCTATTGGAGGTCTACAATAAAAGCATTAAAATGAAAATATTATTCTTAGGTCAGATTCTGTTTCTTTTGAGTATATATATATATATATATATATATATATAGAAAAGATACATATACAAACTATAGAAAACTTAGTTCATTTGAATTTTGGGAGATATTCGAAGTCTAACTTCTACCTAGAGAGTATACATTTTTTTTTTTTTTTGGAGAGGTTTTTGCTATAGGGTGCATGTGCTTGCCAAAAAGACAGAGAGAGACAGAGAGACAGAAAGAGAGATATCAACCCCCAGGAGGATAGCCACGCCATAATCCCTTCTCTTCCATTCTCCTCTTGGGATCTTGGGCACACACATACATGTGCCTGGCGTGAGTTTAAGCCACCGGGTCCGGGACTCGAACTGCGGTCAGCTACAAGGGAGTCCAGCGACATATCCATTATGCTAACTGCTGGCCCCTAAAGCGTATACTTAAAGCACAGGCTAAATAAATCTACCAAAGACCATCCTGATAATTCAACTCAGCAGTACAACTAGTTGTCTAGGTTGGGTAGAATATAAAGGGTAGAAAAAGGGCACATCCCCAAGTAGGGAAATCATAGTAATTACTGTATAACTGACACATGCAGAAAGAAAAACTACTTTTAGACAACAAATAATAATCCCTAATATATTGATAAAAACTTATTTTATGGTTTTGCTATAGGGTGTGCACGCTCACCAGAGACAGTGAGATATAAAGCAAAATCTCATTCCCCAAGGAAGATGGTCATGCCGCAATCCCTTCTCTTCTCGGGATCTTGGGCACACACATACATGTGCCTGGCGTGAGTTTAAGCCACCAGGTCCGGGACTCAAACCACGGTCGACTACATGGGAGTCCAGTGACATAGCCATTACACCATCTGCTGGTCCCTATGGTTACTTTTAAACTTACATTTTGGTAAGTTTTAGGTTTAAAACTTCACAATTAGTTAACAACCTAAGTTTAAATGATGCCAATTTCAAACACATATGAGACAGTAAAGGAAGAGTAAATGCATTCACAAAAGCCACAACTAAATAAATCATTAAGGTACAACTTACATACTACTTCTCTACCTCAAATACTTTGTGAAAAGAGGTAATACATAAACTAATCATTTTTAAAGGTGTGTCCCTTACTCTCAACAATGTACACCTCACTCACATTCATTCATATTGAAAACAGGGTCACATCTCTGTTGGGCAGTTTAAATATATAAACTCATAAATCCAAAATAATAAAAACATTTCTAAGACAGAAGATGGCATATCAATAGATGTCAAGAAACAAAAGATTCTTTATCAAGATAACAGGAAAATGCACATTAATTTATATAAAAAATAATATACTTATTGCAAAAAAGGAAAAGTAGAAAAACTGAAATTAAGGCTGCTTAAGAGGAAATGTGAATCATAGTATATAAAAATTGAGAGCCTTGAATTAAATACTTACTGAAAAGTGAATGGCTTAGCAAAGAATATAAATGAAAGCACAATGGTCATTGCTTTTCTTCCAGTTGTCACTGTAAAAAGGGGCAAAAAGGTCGGTTGAGAATATACCAACTGTTGTCGCCAACCCCCACCTCCAGGCTGGCACTCACTGGCTCCTGCTGGCGCCAGCCTGTGCTGCAGCTTCTACTGTGCACTCTGCCTCTCTGGCTTGGCCCACCCACTTCCCTGGTGAGCTCAGCTGCACCATGACTAGAAAGGTAGGAGTAAGTCAGGGGAACACAGCCGCTGATTGAAGGGAGGGTCAATCACTCTGCCTCTGCGACCTGCAGGTAACTGGGCCATGGCCACTTCCTGTGAGCAGCTCTCACATATAGAATAATCAGGGTGGACCATTGGGGGTAGAAGGGGGAGGGCTGAAACTTCTAGTCTGCATGGCTTCTACTTGCAAAGACAGAGAGGAGAGCCAGTTGGTTGCATTGCATGGTGGTTAAGGGAGTTGGATCCTACATGCCTGACAGAGCGGTTTGAGTCCCCAACTTGAAAAACATGCCCAAAACCCTTAGAGAAGAATGGAGGAGACAGGACTGCAGGGGGGTCATCCCCCCAGGGAGTGCTCTCTTACCCTCTCTGTTGTGTTCATGCCTGCCCTCTAGTAAATTAAAACAAAACAAAACAAAAAAGGCAGAGAAGAGCCAACCGCTTGAAGCCTGTGAGGCTCTGCAGACCTTTCCCATCCCCAACCCCTACTCCAGAGGAGAAAAATGAGAGAGAACTGAACCCTAGACTCTCAGTGTGGATTCTAGCAATCCTATTCAAGGGAGAACAAGGAAACTGGTATGGAGCTAGCACACATCCTAGGGGAAGTAAAAGGGCAAACGGATTGGATTTAAAGGTAACAGGAAAAAACACTGGACCTCTGACCCTAGCCCCACCCCAAGCTGTCAAGAGAGCTACAGCACCCTGCAAGTCTACCAGAGGTGGAGCTCCGTTTATAATCAAATCTCCACAGCCCGGTAGCAGCAGAGTTCGCAAAACAGAGTACCTTCACCCCAAAAGAGATCAAATCTAGAGAGACATATAGACATTCAGATCCAGGAAATAAAAGGACACAAGTAGATTCAATATAAGAAGATCCTTTCCAAGGCACATTATAGCCAAATTGGTGAACTCAAAGACAATATTGTAAAAATGGCAAGAGACAAACATCATGTTACTTACAAAGGTTATTCCATCAGACTAACCCCAGGTCTCTCAATTCAAACAACATGAGCAAAAGGATGGGAAGACATATCTAAAACTGACAACCAGCACGATTATCCTTCAAATGGTAAGGAGACATAAACTCATTTCTAGATAAATAAAAACGGAAATAATTTAACCAATATGAGACTGGTTCTTTGATAAATACTTAAGGGAATACAACCTCAGGGAAACAAAATGGAGACACCAACAAAAATAGAAGAACACAAAACATCTAAGAAAATTACTAATGAAATGGCAGGGATAAGTCTACAAATATTGAATAATAATACTGACTGTTAATGGATTAGATTTCCCAATTGAAAGATACAGATTGGCTCAATGGATAAAGAAGCAGGATCCTTCTATAAACTACCTATAAGAAATATACCTTACTGAAAAAGTGATTTTATACAAACAGAAACCAAAAAAAGGCTGGTATCAGGCAGGCAAAATAGGTATTGAGATATAAACTAAAAAAAGACAAAGGCCAAACACTATACAGTAAAAGGATTAATTCACTAAGAGAATAATAACAATTATATATATTTAAGCACCTAACATTGGAGCACCCAAATACGTTAAATAAAGATTATAGATATAAAGGGATAGATAGACTGCAACACACTATTTTTATTATCATTATTATTATTTTTTGCTATAGGACGTGTGCACTTGCCAGAGAGACAGAGAGAGACAGAGAGACAGAAATCACCCCCCAGGGAGATGGCCACGCCATAATCCCTTCTCCTTTATCCTCCTCTTGGGATCTTGGGCACGCACGCACATGCACCCAGCATTGAGTTTAAGCCACCAGGTATGGGACTCGAACCATGGTTGACTACATGGGAGTTCAGTGACATAGCCATTATGCTAACTGCTGGTCCTTGCAAACACACTCATTGTTGGAGATTTCAACACTGTACTGTCACCAATGAACAGGTCATATAGACAAAAATTAAACAGAGACACAGGAGTTAAATGATATCATAAACCAAAGGGACTGACATTTATAGAACATTTTTAATCATCAACCACAAAATATACATTATTTTTTTATTTGTACATGGGACATTTTCAAAAATTGATCACATTAACAGGGTATGAAACATGCCTTAACAATTTTAAGTGTATAGAAACTATACCCAACATTTTCCCCAAACATAATGGAATTAAACTTGAAATTAACAATTAAAGAGAACCTCTGAAAATACACAACTTGAAAACTAAACAATCTACTCTTGAATGATTTCAAAACTAATAAAGAAATTAAGACTGAAATCAAAGATTTATTGAAACCAATTATACTGATTATTCTCCATAATCTTTTGAAAACAGTGAAAGCAGTCATAAGAGGGAATTTTACAGCAACTAGTGCTCACAAGAAAAAAATAAAAAGGTGGCAAATTAATAACTTAATGATGCAGCTAAAGGAACTGGAAAACCAACAATCAAAAAACCCTATAAAAATAACAGAAGAAATAATCAAGATTTAGTCAAGAATAAGAGAAAGGAACCAGATAAATAAAATCAGTAATAAAACTGGCAATATTACAACAGATATAACAGAAATACAAAAGATCATGAAAGAACACTGTGAGCAACTATTGGGTTGTTGGAAAAGTCATGACACAGTTTTCTGTTTTTCTATGTAAAAATGCATCATGACTCCAATGACCCAATATATGTCGGAAAAGAAAAACAAAAACAAAACTAGATGAGGTGGAAAAATTATATATAGTCTACCTAGATTGAACTGGAAAGAAATAGAAAGTCTGACTAGACCAATAACAAGCAAGAGACTGAATCAGTAATAAATAGTCTCCCAACAAGGGAAATCTCAGGTTCCAATGGCATTACTTCTAAATTCTACAAAACTTTTGAAGAAGAGCTGACCTCGATTCTCCTCAATTTCTAAAGACCCAAAAGAAGTCATCATCATTTTGATACCAAAAATAGACAAGGACACAACAAAGTTCAATATCCCTGATGAACACGGATACAACAATCCTGAATAAGATACTAACAAATTGAATTCAACAGCACATTAAAAAGACTATATGCCAAGGACCAGCAGTTAGCATAATGGCTATGTTGCTGGACTCCCATGTAGTCGACCGCAGTTCGAGTCCTGGACCCAGTGACTTAAAACTCACGCCGGGCCTGTGTGCGTGCATGCCCAAGATTCCAAAAGGAGAATGGAGGAGAAGGGATTGTGGTGTGGCCATCCCCCCTGGGGGTTGATTTCTCGCTTTCTGTCTTTCTGTCTCTATCTTGCGAGCGCATGCACCCTATGTCAAAAACCTCTCAAAAAAGAAAAAAAAAAGACTATATGCCATGGCCAGGTAGGTTTTATTCCAGAGATGCAAGAATGTTTCAAGGTATAGAAAACAATAAATGTAATATTAATACAGCACATTAAGAGAAAATAAAAATCATCTGATCATATCAATTAATACAGAAAAAGTATTTGATAAAATACAACATCCCTTCATGATTAAGTCTCAGCACAATGGGTATAGAAGGTACATTTCTCAATAAAATCCATATATACAGACCCACAGCTAACATCATACTGAATGGAGAAATGCTGGAAGCTTCTCCACTAAAAATTGGAATAAGACAAATTTGTCCACTTTACTCACTTCTTTTCAACATGGTATTGGAAATCCTGGCCAACACAGTCAGACAAGAGAGTAATATAAAAGGCATTCAAATAGGACAAGAAGTGGAACAGTCCCTAGTCTCAGATGACACAATTACATACATAAAAAATGCAAAAGAATCCAAGAAAAAGCTCCTAGAATTGATAAGTCAGTACAGTAAAATGGCAGGATACAAAGTCAATAAACAAAAATCTAGAGCATTTTTAAACAGCTAAAATAGAGAGACTGAGATAGAAGCAACCCTATGTGTACCATATAGCCTAAGTATGTAGTAGGCTTACCATCTAGGTTGGTGTAAGTATGCTCTATGATGTTCATAAGATGACAAAATCACTAGTGACACCGTTCTCAGAATGCATCCCGTCATTAAGCCATGCATGACTGTGTTACACGTGGAACTTAATAATCTTTATTTATTTATTTATTTATTTTGATTTTAGCTTAGGTTGTTTGTGCTTGCCAGAGAGAGGGAGAAAGACAGTGAGACAGAGAGCAAGCACTTGTGTGCACAAGTGTGAGAAATCACCCCCGGGGATGACCATACCGCAACCCCTTTCCTCCATTCTCATTTTGGGCACGTATACACACATGCCCAGTGTGATTTTTAAGCCACCAATTCTGGGGGTTGAACTATGGTCAGTCATGTGGGAATCCTGTACCTTAACCAATATTAAGTGCCACCTGTGGTCCTGGCACTTAATATTCCATGTATGAATGAATGAATACCAAATAAACTGTTCTAGAAAGAGCCTGATTCACAATATCTATTTTCCATTCTGTTGTAGTGAAAGTACTCCTATTGTTAGCTGGCATATGTCCAATAGTTATGCGTGGTCTGTGACCAGGCTCTGGCCAGTGAAATGTGAACACAAGTTGTGTTTCTAGGAATGTGGTTTTCAGTGAGTTTATGTAAAGAGAGGAATGTGGCTTCCATTCTCTCTTACTCCATCCATCCCTCTGCCTAGCACAAGGATAAAGATGGCACAAGAGACAGGGAGGAGCCTGGGTTACTGGTGACCATGAACCCACCACGTCAACTTGAGAGAGCAGAACAATGTGGGAAAGGCACAGGTGCAGAGCCAGACTGCCTTCGGTGGAAACCTGCCTCTGGCTGACTGCTAGACAAATCACTTAACCTGTGTATGTCAGTTTTTCTGTCTGTAAGATGGAATAATACTGTTTTATGAGATTGCTGTGAAATTAAAATGACTGATAAATGTAACCAGAATGGCATCTAGTACATAATAAGGACTCTGGGTGTATTAGTTATTATTACTTACCACCTCTGGCTTTCTTTTACGTGAGGGAAAAAAACCCGCTTGTACCTTTAAGCCAAGGGCTATCTATGTCTCACGGCTCAGGCAAATGACACAGTGACTCATGCATTCCCTTCACTAACTAAACAATACTCTGAAGCAGAACAAATACAACTTTTATTCCTCTACAGTGTCGAGCAAGGGTCCCGCAAACAGTAAATGACCCATAATTATCAGGAAAAGGGGAAGCCAACCTGGTTGTTGCTCAACATACAAATGAAAGGTCTAAAAAGTCTTTGTTTAAAATGTGCGCCTGTCACACTTTAAATTCAACAAAACTGAAAATTTCATTACAAATTAGAAGTATCTACAGAGAGGATTCTCTTCAAAGATACTCATCCAATCACACTTTGTTTACTCCATTGTTAGAGGGTTTATGTGTTCACCAGTGGTGGGGAAAGAGGGAGAGTGAGAAGAACCCTGCAGTGGGACACGATCTGGCCGTAGGCCCTTTTCCTCCAATTCTCTGTCCTGTCAGCAGTTTGGGCACACATGCACTTGGTGTGGCTTTCAAACTGCCTGGGCCAGGATTTGAACCATGGCTGGCCAGGTGATATCTGGCCCCTTAACCACTGTGCTATGGGAGACTGGCTGCATCCCACCACATTTTTACAGCAAGTTCTTTTAGTGTATATAAAGGTTACTATTCAGATAAGTATGTACATTTGATTTTAAAATTAAACCTTCAAAATAAAAAATTAAAATCAAACATCTTTTTCTTTAGAATTTTAAAGAAACACCATTACCTATATAATAATTAGAGAAATCTGACAACTTTCTTTTTAATGAAAAGGAGAGTTTGCCTTTATCTTTTAGAAAAAGAGAACCACAGAAAATGTAAACTGAGCCAGCAGGTGGTGTGGAAGTTAAGGTGCCAGATCCTACATGGCTGACTGTGCTGTTCAAGTCCCAGATCCAGTGGTTTAAAAATCACACGAGCACATGTACATACGTGCCCCAAATCCTGAGAAAACTGGAGGAGAATAGACTGTGCCATGGCCACTCCCCCCACCCCCCCACCCTCAGAGTGATTTCTCACTTCCCTGGCTCACCTGCAAGCACATATACACTATAGCATAAAAAACAAACAAACAAACAAAAAAACAAAAAAATAAACTAAAAAATAAATGAAAATGTAAATGCTTATTTTATAACCTAAGGAAGTAAATCCCTCCTACCTGTTACTGCAAGAAGTGCACCAAAAATTTTAATCAAAGCCAGAACAAATGAGATTCCAAAATACCCAGTGAGGGAAAAAAGGAAAGCATAACCGTAGGTCCGAATTGGATTCTGCAACAAATAAAAAAGCCTGTCAGAAAAATGCAAAACAAACCCTGAGGTATTATAAATGAAATAAATCTACAGATTTTAATCAACTTCTTGAACAATAATAAGCCACTCGACAATGCAGTCAAGCAGACTCTTAGTTTTGATTTAATGGGAAAGTAACAAAATTAAAAATCCCTAACTTCTACATTATAAACAGCTTAAAATTAATTTATAGGGTATAGCAAGGATAAAATAAATGTCAATTGTTTTATTTCTGATGTAATTTCTGATCTGCATATATTAAAGGAATTATTAAAGTATATTAACAATAGCTTTTTAGACAAGGGGAATTAGAGATATAGAGAAAACTATTTAATGGAAGATGTTTATTTTAAAAAATGTGATTAGTGTTTACCTTTGAACAAAATGTGACTGCAGGGCCTAATCCAGTAGTGCATGTCAATCCCAATAAAATGTACACAAAACCGATTGAATATGAATACAAAACCTGGAGTAGATAAAAATAAAGTGGACAAAAGTAGTATCAAACCAAAAGTGGAAGATTAAAAGTTCTAAATATATGCTTTAATTAATCTATTAAGTATGTAGGACAAAACAGTTTTAAAGTAACATCCTCATTTCAGTAGTCTAACTTTCTGAAAATGGTTGACTCTAACACCTAATTAAATTTACATCTTGTTTTATACACAAAATTACACAGCAGAACTGATCCTTTCATATAAGCTTTTACATAATCATATTCATTTTTTGCCTGGCTTAATTACTGAATTAAAGAAAGATTTAATGTTAGGGTTCTAAAAACATATATAAGCAAACTGAAATAAAAAAACTAAATTACCTGTAAAATGTGGAAAGAAAACATAAAGCTTGCAAAAGACATTCATATATATGATGAAAACAGCAGTTTTTGGCATATCTATTGCTTTATTTCCCTATTTTCTTAATCTTTTCATCTGTTTATCATACTCCTCAAAAATGGAATCAGCAGTAGCAGCAGCAGCTAACTTTTGACACCTGCTAGTGCTAATGCTGTATGTGAGTTACAGCATTCGTTTCTCACAACCACCCTATAAGATATTTTTTTTTTCCTTTTTTAAAATTTTGCCAGAAGTGGATGTATATGTTGGAGGGAGACAGAGAGAAAGAGAGAGAGAGAGACAGAGAGAAAGTGAGAAAGTACCCCTGAGCCCACGGGAAATGGTTATGCTACAATCCCTTCTCTTCCCCATTTCTTTCTCCTTTCAGGATTTTGGGCACATGTAACACACACCTGGCATATTTCTCAAACTACTGGTTCTGGGACTTGAACTGAGTAGGTGACCACGCAAAATCCAGCTGCCTTAACCATACCACACAGGCTGTCCTGAAATAGGTATTCTAGATCATCACCAATTTCTAGATGAAGAAACTAATGCATAGAGACATTAAGTAACTTTCCCCAAATGAGGTCTACTAAAGCTAAGGTCTGAACTGTTTTATTCAGAGTCTATCAAATTAGCCACTGAATTATGTGGCTAACTGCCTATATTCTCTTAATTCTGAGGCTATCCAATCCAATCTAGAAAAAGGAGTGATGGTAGCTAAGAATATTTCTGACCCAGATTAAAGTTCTTATGATACTAGTAGGCTGTCCCACCCTGTTTTGAGAAATAAACAGTAAAGAATGGTCCCTTCCATCTATAATACCTCAGGCTCTGTAGGACAAGGTTGTAAAACTAATGTAAACACATATATACATACACCCACACAAACACACAGTAATTTTCCTATATATAAAAAAGAAGATAAGATGAAAGAAAAAATATTAAAGTAACAAGAGCAGAAAAATGAAATACCTAACAAGAATTTCAGAAGAAACATGCTAGATTTATATGAAGGAAACTTTAAGAGACATTAAGGAAACAAAATCGAAAAACAAAACACTTGAATAAAAGGAAAGTCATACCTTATTCTTGGACTGAAAGAATCAAGTGTATAGGTGCCATTCTCCCTAAATTAATTTATAATTCAATGCCATACCAATCACAATACCAATGGGATTTCTAGTTTATGTGGGGATATGAACACCCAAGAATAACTATTGGTAGTAATATTCTGAAAAAGAAAAGGAATAGTAGTGGCTAGTCCTAACAGATGGCAAATGTACGGTAAAGCTGCTGTCTCACACATACGGCGCAGAAACCAACTTAAAAGACTACAATTCAGAACCCTGCGTTACAAGTGTTATGATAAAGAAGGTATTCAAAATAACCTGGGAGAAAGGATTTTCCAACAAATGGCATCAGGACAAATGGAAGAAAATATTGCTTTTTAGTACGGTAAAAAATTTCTTTTGAAAGTTTTGGATTGAATAAAGGATTTAAGAAAAAAGAGTATCATAAAACCAGTACATAATATGGGTGAAATTTTCTAAGTCTCAGAGTTAAGAAAGTCCTCTCCAACCATGATATGTAGCCCAGAAGCCATGAAGGAAAATATAAATTGGACCATGCAAACAATTATATAAAACTTCTACATGGAAAATAACACTAAGATTACAAAGAGGAGAGAAAAATGACATAAAGGAATTTTTAAATACACAAAAATGCACACAAAAAAACCGTTCCAGAAATCAATGACGAATAAAGTTATCAAAAGCATAATTAGCTCTTAGCAGTGGTAGTGATAGTTTTACTTTTTTTTTTTTTTAAATAGATTTTTGCCAAAAGGGCACATATGCTTGCTGGAGACAGAGAGAGACAGTGAGAGGGAAAGTGAGAAATCACCCCCTAGGGGAGAATGCCATCCTGCAATCCCTTCTCTGGGGATTTTGGGCATGCATGCACATAGGCTTGGTGTTAATTTTCAAGCCACTAGGTCCCAGACTCCAATTGCGGTTATCCATGTGGGAGTCCAGCGCCTTAACCACCACGCCACTTGCTGGCCCCAATAGTTTTACTTTTTAATGTCTTTTGTTTGAATGATATTAACCTTTATAAAAATAATCATGATAAATTAGTTTAAAAATGCAATGTAAATCTTTGATGCTGTAACTATTCCATAGAGTGATTGTGTTGTCAGAAAGTCATGACCCATTTTTGCATAGAAAAATACGTCATGACTTTCCTGATGACCTAATAGCTACATCACCATTCTTTAGTCTGTCTGATGTGAAGTAAAGGCACTAAGAATTTACCATTTCAGAATTAGAAGCGTTATGCAGTTTCATAGCTTTCTCTTGAACATTTCCAATGACAGCATCTGCACACAGTGCCAGGGAAATAAGCATCACACCTGCAAGAAGGTAGAAAAAGTCTTTAGTGAAACATACAAGCTCTAATCAAGTTTTACCAGAAATTTAACTGAGCTAACACACAAAAGCAGATCTTCAGCCGCATTTGCTCAGTAACACTGAATATTCTTCCACACCCAGTTATTACAAATACAGAAGGGATACTAATTTTTTCATATATTTTATGCATTTGTGCACCAGAGGACCTGTGATAAAAAATGAGACAGAGACAGAGGGAGTGGAAGAAAGTACCCCTCAATGGGGCGTGGTCATGTCCTGATCCCTTTTCCTCCATTTCTCCATCCTGTCTATATCTTGGGCATACATGCACACACACCTGGCATGTTTTTCAAACCTCCAGGTTTGGGATTTTAATCATGCAATTGGTCATGTAAGATCTAGTTCCCTTAGCCACTAAACCAAGGGCCAGCCTGAGGCAGTGATATTAAAACAAACAGAATAAAACAAACCAATACTAATAAAATGAGTTACTGCTGTCACTATTACTGCATTGCAATAGCATGTCAAATAATAGTTCCACTTTTACTCTAGATTATGTTCAAAAGAAATACTGTATTAAAAAGAAGATCTAGTGGGACTGAGGACTAGTCAGTCAACTGAAAAAAAACGAGAAAGAAAATAATGATAATAATAATAATAATAATAATAAACCCTATCTTACTAAAATGTTTAATTTAAAAATCATAAACTTGCGTGTAGTTGCCAAGGTATTTCTGAGTGTGGGTCCTAATTAGAATACTACACTTCTGCAAAGACCACACTCACAAATCACATTCTCCATAATTTCTAAGTTGCTTTTGTTTAAAAGTGCACCCCAAACTTAGGGACTTTTGAAATAAGCGGTGCACATAATCCCTTCAAAGGTACAGGCATTCCCTCAACTTTACAGTTGTTTAACACACATCTAATTCATTCAGCAAGCAAGTTGTTAACTGCAGGTGTCTCTGAGATGCAAGACCATCATTAGTCACAGTATTTCCAGAAAGAGTGGAGAGTAGTTATCATTACATCTGTGAGGCTGATGGGGTTTACAGAAGTTTTATTTCCCTCCCTATGTATAAGCAACCACAGAGAACAGAAAAGTATATGTACGTGTGTGTATGCACTTCAGTTAATTAAGACTCTTCAAGTTTTCATACGTTCACTTTGATTTGACTTTTTATCATCTAACTTTGATATTTATTAACTAATCACTCATTTCATTCATCAAACTTGATTGTGAATGTTTTTACTTGTGTCTAATACCAATGCTACCCTCAAAAGAAAAACACTGCACCTTCAAAAATTCTGGAAGGACTGCCCTAACAGCTGAAAAGCTATTCAAAGATATTGCAAAAAATGTTTCAAACAATGGCAACAACATGAAAATGACTGAACTGCATCCTAATAGATGTTAAAGGAGACATGTGAAAAAAGTAAATTGGTATGTGTCACACACACACACACACACACACATATACATACATACATACTTTATACAATCAAAGTTTTACTTTATCAACCTTAAATAACCATTTTAATAGTTAATCTTATCTCCTCTACATAATATGCTCTAATAGACCAGGGTAGGGATAGCTGCTCATCAATTATTCTTAATGGTGAAGTATGGTTGGGTTTGAACTCTTGAAGAACATGTCCACAAAACTCATAACAGGTTAGCACTTAAATTAAAGCAAAAGTCAGAACCACTGGGCCACTCCTCCCACCACTGTCACTACAACACCACTGCCATCACGTGCATTTCACATCCATTCTTCCATCATTTCCTTCTGTCCCCCACCATCATTGCATGAGGCAAGTTATCGTTAGTAACTCTTATTTGGGGAGCAAACTGGTCTGGCACTTTACCCATTTTTAAGTAATTTGGATTTTGAAGAAGGTAGAAACCATGTCTCTCATTGAAAATTCTGTGCCTTCTCTAAAACTGCCTTTTCATAAGAGGGAATTATTTCATTTTTCAAGTACATAATCTTATTTTTCGTCTCTAACATGTGAAAATGAAAACTGTGACCTGAAAAATCTAGATGTCAGAAACATCTGCAACTATAAGCTTTCTCTGTAACCAAGCAGTGAGTGCTTGCACTCAGACTTAAAGAGCAGATATACAGTGAGTTCTACCAACATCTTATGACTGATAAAGGACTACTCCAAGAGGCACAATGGTTACATTAAAATCTATAATTCAGTTTGATTAACCAGGTTAGAAGGAAGACAGAAGTTTGTTTGGAAGAATAATGAAGCTGATGTAAACATTTTTTTCACTATGTAATAGTTAATTTTTTTCTCAAAATTATACTTTGTACCTGCTCTTCATTATAATTGTTATTATTATTTTGTGGTTGTTCTCTCAGTTTCTTTGAAGACCTAGAAACTGTAAATACTATTTTTGTCAGGTGAAGAGATGGGATGACACTATATTAATCTAGTTAGTAAAATTCTTTTGATAATTTTTCTTTTTAAGATTTTTGCTATAGGGTGCGGTGCATGTGCTCACCACAGCGTGAGAGAGAGAGAAGGAGAAAGTGAGAAATCACCTCTCGGAGGAATGATCATGCTGCAATCTCTTCTCCTCCATTCTCCTTTTGGGATTTTGGGTATATATGCACAAGCCACCTGGGTCCAGGACTTGAGTCAGGGAGTCAGCCATATGGATCCAGCACCTTAACCACCAGGCCACTTGTTGGCTCCATTGATAATTAAATGACAATACTATATATACAGTATGCACTCAAAGTAGTCTAAAACAATTTCTCTGAAAGGGCTTTAGAGTAAAAATAGGACTTTAATACTTTTTAAAATTCTTATTAATTTCTAAACGTGTTGTAATATCTTCTGTTCATGAATAACCTAAATTAATTTACAAAATTCCGCATAGCACACTATGGAGAAAATTTGCTTATGATGAAAACTTTAACCACTTTAAAGTAATGTCCATACTTATATTATACAGCTTAATTATAAAATATAGCACAAGCTCTCTTTAGCTAAAACAATGGCAAGTAAATAAACAAGTTTAAAAGAAGTTGTTTGAAGATGAGAATAAAAGCTACTACTGTGATTCCCCTATAACTTGTGTACATTTCCAATTCATCTCATAAAAAATTACTCTACCATGTACTTGATAATCAAAGATTATGAAAAGCCTTCAGTCATGTCAAAATTTAAGAATATTTAAAAAATTGCTATATTTCAAGAACTGTGATTTATTTACTGCATCTTACATGGTGATTTCATAAGCTTTATGATAAAGGGGACCAACAGTTAGTGTAATGGCTGTCGCTGAACTCCCACGTAGTCGATCGCGGTTCGAGTCCTGGACCTGGTGGCTTAAACTCATGCTGGGTGCATGTGCGTGCGTGCCCAAGATCCCGAGAGGAGAATGGAGGAGAAGGGATTGCGGTGTGGCCGGCCCCCCCCCGGGGGGGGGGATTTTCCTCTTTCTGTCTCTCTGTCTCTCTCTGTCTGGCAAGTACACACGCCCTACAGCAAAAACCTCTCCAAAAGAAAAAAGAAAAGAAAAAAAAAGCTTTATGTTAGATATGAGAATCAAAGATGTCTAGGACCAGCAGGTGGCTTAGGAGTTAAGACACTGAACTGCCACATCGACCATGAGTTCCAGACCAGTGGCTTGAGACTCAAGCCAAGCGCATGTGCGTACATGCCCCAAATCCTGAGAGAATGGAGGAGAAGGGAATGCAGTGTGGTCACTGACCGTGTTGAGTGATTTCTTACTTTCTCTCTCTCTTTCTCCAGTGAGCGCACACACTCTATAGCAAAAATTTCTCAAAAAAAAAAAGAAAAGAAAAAAGAAAAAAGATGTCATACCGTCATTTAAAATCCTTATGAAACTTTAGAAACTCTTGCATTAACCTAAAATGTCTATACAATCTAGGAATATAAATTCCTTACCAGTCAGGTTGAAGTTTGGAGCGATTGTGCTGTCAGCTAGGGTAAACCATATCAGGCCAAGGCTCATACATACTGCTGCAGACACGTCTGCAACGTTATAACGCTTTCCTGTATAAAACAAATGGAAATCTGCATTACGTAAAACCCACACAGCCTAACAGTAATATTTAACCAAGTACAGCAAACATCTGTTACTTACATCCAATGCCAAAAATGCGTGAAGAGCACTTAGGTCAATGTGTGACAAAGGTATGGAGGGTTTCTGAAGAGTACATTACTAATGGGCACCAAAATGTTCTTAGAAAGTCAGAAATGAGATCCTATTTTCTCTCTTATGAGAGGAGAAAAAAATCTTGGCAAAAACTGACAGCAAGAATAATGCACATCCACAAACATTGAATATTTTGTGGAAATTAGTGCCTTTTATTTTATGTATAGCAAAAGACCACAAATTTTCTTGTAGTTCATAAATCTACAAAGTGAGCGATGATTTCAGCTCTACAACTGTTTAAATTTGCAAGCAGTATAATGAGATAACTTCTATGTAGGAATTAACTTATTTATCATATTCATATTTAAGAAGTGAAATGTAGTGTAACTTGTAAAATCTGTAAGGAAATACATGTGCCCAGTTAGGATGCTGTATGTGATTTCTTAGTAAGGACTGAGGTCAGGGTCAGTAGTTTTTCTTAGGTACACTTATCCTAAAATGCTATCTGGGGTAGTTGACATACCTACGTTCATTTAAAAAGGCTTATTTCAGGAAGGCATCTAATGCATAAAATGAAGTCAGGCTATATGAGAACAATAGAGATACACAATCAACTATTAAAACATGAATATTCCTCACAACAGGTATAAACAACAAAAACTAGTTCTGCTACTTGCTCTTACTTTTTTAACCTTTTGCACGTAACTTCTAACTTAGCTGGGGCTATAAGACATCAACAGCTGGCAGGGTTAGTAAATAAATAATTCTGCTCAGATCAATAGGCTTTATTTCAACATGAGAATTGCCTGCTGTACAATGGGGGTAGAATGTGGAGCTCTGAAGAACAGAAAAATGGAAGTACTGAGAAAAGGAATTTTCCTGGTATTTTAGGCCTAGGCCTGCAATATGTCAATACGGTACTGTCAGAAATGCAGTGGATTCCAAAATAAAAAAAGAAATACAATAAATAAAATACTATATTTTTTCTTAAGTTTAAATTATAGATTTTAGATGAGAGGTCAGAAAATTATCAATTTTTTATGAAATCTTACTTTTCAAAGATATCACTCAGAACTGTAATTTCTAGAGTGCTCAAAAATATAAATAGAAGATTAATGTTTTTCCTAATGCTAGATGCTGTAACATATCCTATTAGTTTCAAACAGTATGAAAATACATTATTACTATACCTTGAATAAAAACTCCTCCTAGCATAACAGGAATCAATTTGCAGCACTTGAAGATGACTTGGGTAGGATAATTCAGGTAGCCCAAGGAAGTGTTTGATAACCCCATAGTACCCACAGTTAGAAAAGCTATTATCATGTAGGTTTTTCCTGGTATTCTGTAAAAGACAATTTTTAAAACCTTCATTTTGGGACCCAATTCATACTACTATACGATAATGAGTTTATGATGTGTAAATGTCTAATTACTTTTCTAATTCCTGGTTAGTATTTCTGGAAATATCAGTAAAGAAGTTATCACTATTATTGAAGTTGCAACACTGTTTACTTTTTAAAAAGAATGTTGATAAAAATAACTTACTCTTACTTAATCATAAATGAGACCTCTCAGCTATCTGAAAAAGTGGCATATTGAGAGTTACATAAATTTTTACTGGAAGTGTACACACTGGTAAAAGGGCTTTAAACAGCAGTTCTAGGCATGGACAAAACTATCTTGACTACATTTTTGAAAAAAAGAATTAAGAAAATGCTGGTCTTCATAATTGTAAAAGTCATCTTAACTGATTTTTTAACAAACTTGTAACTTGTTTTGTTTCCTTCTGTTTTATCTAGCATTAGGAAAAAATATACCATCCATTTTGCTAGAATGAGCAGAATTTCTCTAGAAAAGGTTCATGTGGTTTAAAACCCTGGACACGATTATTATAGTATCTTATGAATCGTCTCTCTAATTCTATAAAATAATATTCAACTTCATGAAGAGTAGCTGACTCTTTCCTCAGGATCTCAAATCTTTCAACATTTCATCTATCTGGAGTTTCTATAAGAGATGCTAAGTTTGGCATGTTCAAAATTTTGAGCCTCACTGTGAGCACACGCTAACTGACCGGATATTGTCCCCTGGTGTGCTGAAAAGAACGGGGCGTTCTCCACAAAACTAGATCATGCTGCATACTTAGGTATAATTTTCATTTCAAGATTTGTGTTCATGTTTAAATCAAGGCGACAAAATTTCTCCAGGTGTTTCCCTTTAGGTCTTTGTTTTCACATTGGTAAAAGGAGGAAGTTGGATTTCATCAGCCTGCCTCTTGGATTTTGTTTCTACTTTACTTAATACCTCGACTGTTTGTTTCTTTAGAAATGATGGAAAAATTGAAACTTAAAAAAACCCCTCAAGATCCCCTTTATTAAAAACTCAAAGTAATTAATAACAGTTACCAAGTAATCTCTGATAAAAAATATAAGTAGCACGTTTTAGTGTATTACACATTCGTTTGAGCACATTATTACTACATTTGATCTTCAAAATAAAACTGAGAGTTAGAAAATTTCATAAGCTTCCCTGAGGTCTGTACAGAACTAATAAGATGTAATGCCAGATCCAAATCCATGTTTTCTGACTATTAAATCTTGTTTTCATTGCAGTACAGTAGTACTCTTAAAGATAGGAAGGAAGAAGAAGAAAAACCCCAACAACTAAGCAGAGTTTCGCTAAGGCTCTAAAGAGTGGTACCACTGAAATAAATTTGGAAATGGGTGTATATTCAGAAATAAATCAGGAAACATGTAATTGGGAATATTTTCATTGCAGCATACCCTAAAAGATTTTAAAAATGAGGGTCAGCAGGTGGCGTAGTAGCTGGAGTGCTGGACTCTCACATGGCCAACTGTGGTTTGAGTCCCGGACCCAGCAGCTTGAAACTCCTGCTGAGCGCAGGTACATGCATACCCAGAAATCCTGTGAGGAGAATGGAAGAGAGGGGAGTGAGACGTTGCTGTCCTCCCTTCCCCTGCCCTCGTGATTATTTCTTGTGTTCTCTGGCAAGCATATGCACCCTATAACAAAACAAAACAAAACAAAACCACCTCTCTTAAAAAGAAAAACGGCTTATGTTTTTAATGTTCTTTAGAAGGAAAGGGTTTCAAATCATAATCAGATTTATTACATCTATAAAATCTTTTCTCAAATTTTTTCACTTATATTTAAATCAAACATGAATTGTTTTAAAATATGTTATGGTCATGGGGTTTAAATGCTGGGATAATTACGGCTTGAGGCCAACTCCCCATCTTATCTGGGCAGTGGAGAGGGAGGTGTTTCTTTCTGAAATTGAGTAGTTAGGAGGTGCATCATCTTTGTGTCACTTTATACTTTACAAAGACAACATTAGTATCTTTTACCTTAAAAGCAATCAAAGATATAGGAGTTGGCAATAGGTAACAAATGATCAGACTTCCTTCCTTGGTAGGTATATCTAATTTATTTAATTACTTTTTTATGCCTTTTTTTTTTTTTAATTAAGAAATTTCTGCTGTAGGGTGGTGCACTTGCCGGAGACACAGACATAGAGACAGAAAGTGAGAAATCATCTCCTGGGGGCAATGACCATGTCATAATCCCTTCTCCTCCATCTCCTCTTGGGATTTTGGGCAAGCACGCATATGTGTCCAGTGTGAGTTTTAAGCTGCTGAGTCCGGGTCTTGAACCATGGTTGACTGACTACAAGGGAGACCAGTGACGTAACCATTATGACATCTGCTGTTCTCAATTATTTCCTATCATCTATGACTCTATCTTGTACAGTTTCAAAGCACGAAAATGAAGATATTCTGATTCAAATATTTTTATTATAATTGTTACAATTTACTGGCAACAGAGAAAGGTTGAGAAGCAAAATTAGATTCACAAAGAAATACTTCTGTTAAGATTTAAATATTTAAAATTGTATAGTTACCTTGCTACAAACTTCAAGACCATTTATGGTTTTATAAAAAATGGCTGTGATGGTTTTAAATTTTTACTAAACATTTATATCAATAAAGGTCAGTACTAATAGTCCTTATTACATTTAATAACTTCCCAATAGATATGTGTAATATACACACATTAAGGCATGATATATGATGACATTTCTCACATTTACGAAGAAAATTTTATAGTCGCATTCCTAACCACTTTATGTTTATACTCAAGACAATGCTGTATTACAATTTTTCTATATCCACTAAAAAGATAGCAAGATAATGTTGTAAACCTAGATGATGTGAAACTATAAGGATAGCTAAATGAGCTCTTTTGTTTTTTGATGAAAAGAAATTGTGTTTCTCTTAACATTTGAGAATGAACATTATGAGAATGTTGGTTAAAATATATCCCACAAAACAAAACATTAACTTTGCATGTTAAAGTCTACTATGGAAACAGATATTTCATTTCACCACTTTGATGTTACTTGCACTATATATGTTTCAGTAATCACACCTATTTCAGTGACATTTATAAAAAACACAGACTTTAAAAAGCTCATGGAAAATTGTATTAGTATGCTTACTTTGGTGTAAAAATTTCTGAAATCCTTGCATAGTGCATAGTTTTTTATGTATTTCCTATGAACTTTTTCTATGAAATTGGAGATTTACATATATTGTAGTTTACAACTTTTTAAAAGTATATTTTATTATTTTTATGCATTCGATCACTGTTTATCAGTACAGCATACTAAGTAAATTTTCCCAGCATGAATACTTTTTATTATTTATATATTTTTTAAATACTACTATTAAGTAGTAGTAGTAATAGTAGTATTTGGTTTTACCAGAGAGAGAGGGAGAATGATAGTAAGAATCCAAGCCGCCAGGTCTGGGATTTGAACCAAAGTCGGCCATGTGGGAGTTCGTTGCCCTTAACCACCATGCCACCTGCTAGCTTCCCAGAATGAATATTTTGAGTACTATAACTTTTTGAACTTGAGCAATTTTTCATTTTTAAATATTATAAAATATCTCACTTTTTTCAGTGTTTAAATATAGATATTTATTAATTTTAATAACTTGGTTATGCCGATGATATCTGTGGTTGTTAGGAATGTTAATAATAAACTGTAAACTTCATGCACATTCAGTGTGGGGAAAAAGAGGATAAGATTCAACTAATACTAGTAAGTTTACTTGTTGAAAAAAAAAACAAACCACATACCTTCTCCTTTTGTCCTGAATAAGTTGAAGTTCTATCATGCCAAATATAGAGTAAAATGCAAACTGCACTAAAGTAAGGTACCAGCCATAAGACTTCAAACCCTCCACTGAAAATATTAATTCCTGTCAAAAAACACACAAATACTGTTAAGTTCAAGGGGGCAGGCTAATTTTCTCACAATAAATTCATATAAAAACAACATTTTAAAAGAAACCAAGCCTACTTCCAACTAAAGGGGGTGATCAAATCGCAAGGCTTCTTGTTGGTTTAGAGGTTAGAAATCTGTTCCAAAGAACTGATACTATAAAAGATAGCAGGTAAGAAAATCAGAAAAATAATTGCTAAGTTGCTATGAAGCAACACTGTCCTATGCTTTTCTTAAGGGGCGAAAAAAAAGACTAAAAGAAAGGGTTGCCCAAAACAATGAGAAAGGTAGCTGACTCCAGAACTCTCTTATTACCAAAAAAAGCATACTTTTTAGGACTATTAAGAGTTTATCATCAGTCTTGTTTTTCAGTAAGAACATGTTCATACTGATATTATTTTTCAATATTATGTATTATGTTATAGCTTAGATAAAATTTCTCCTTGTAGAAGCAATGGTTAATTTGCTAAACAAAATGAATTTATACTTACATCAATTATTAAGTGATTCTTAACATGTCATTAAGAGCATTCTAATAGCTATTTTGCTTAATGTTACTGAAAAAAATCAAACTTTCCACCATGTGCTGTTTGTGTATGAATATAAATAAAAAACATTTATTTGCCAAACCCCTAATCATTCTCATTGAACTATTTTAACATGAAAGTATTTGTAAGAGTTAGTAGCAATGGTCCCTTGACAAGGTAAAAGTGATAGTTCCTGATGTAATCAGCAATTGCTAAATAATTAAAAAAAAACTTTGGACACACCAATTCTAAGTTAATATATCTGATGAAAAATTATATAGAAAATAATTTATTTAATGAAGTATATAGGACAAATTTTGATCCATTTTTCTGTGCTATTGCTAAATCTACTCCCAAGCTATACGGTAACAGTGATATACTGGGGGGGGGGGGGGGAAACACTCCAAAGAAATGCCAATCTCTACTTTTAACTGTTTTTCACTACAATATCTTAAATTTGATACCACCATGTAGTGGAAAATCAATGATTATAAATGTTAATATTTTTAATTGATGTTTTTGTTTACATTACTATCTTTCATAGATTCTTGTAAGCTAACTAAAAAACAATCACAATTCCATCTTCTTTATTTACATTTACCTTTAATCTCTTTAAGACAATGAAACAGTACAATTTTAAAGGTTACCCTAATTTATTAGTACTAAATACCAGTAATGTGATTTAAGAAAATATAACACATTCCTTTTCCTGAAGTACAAAAGTTCTCCATGGTGTAAAGTTTCATTAGAAGGCAAAGCTGGTAATGGTTGGAATTATTCACTAATGAAATGGCCATCCATTAATTATACTAGTCTCCATTCAAACATTTTTGTTTACACTACTCAGGATCATCACCCAAGTAGCTCAATCTTGGAAGATCAGGAATCCACTGCTAGACAAATGTACATAACTATCCCAAAATATAATGTAAATATGAGACAAATTGTTGCAATGTTAGAAATGTTTTGCCTAAGCAAAAATCATAAAAAAGTAAGACTCTGGCAAAGTTAGATTAGAAGTGAAAACTAGACCAACAGATGATGCAATGGTTACATCACTAGATTCCCATGTAGTCGATCACAGTTCTAGTCCTGGGCACAGTGGCTTGAAATTAAACTGGGCACATGTGAGTGTGTGTCCAAAATCCCGAGAGAAAAATGGAGAAGAGACTGCAGACTGGCCATCCCCCATGGGGGATGATTTCTCACTTTGTCTGTCTTTCTCTGTCTCTCTGGTGAGCACATGTGTTCTATAGCAAAAAGCTCTCTCTTAAAGAAAGAAAACCAAACAAGAATGAGAAAAAAATAAGTGCTTTAAAAAAATGATTGAAATATTTTAGGATTAAAGACATACTCTTAGACAAAATATCCTAAAAAAATTGCAAAACTGACTTTTTATTACTGAGATAAGCAATCAAAAATAAACTGCTCTCATTTATTTTTATTGGAAGTCTATGTTCAAGATACCAATCACTGTTTCAATTATCCTCTTTTAGAAACAGATGGTTAAAATTATTACCAATGTTTTATGAAATATTTTAAAATTTACCTTCAAATTTTCAATTCTTAAAGACAGTGTCTATAAACCACTATTTATTTATTTATTTTTTTAGAGTGTGGGGCATGTAAGAGCATTCTTGTAGGGCCTCATCACGCTGTAGTCCCCTTTCCATAGCCCTCAAGCTCCTCAGTATCTTAGGTACCTAAGCATACTGCTAGTTTGTTTTCAGGCTGACCCAGGGATCTGAACCCATGGTTGGCCATGTGACTTCCAGTACAGCATTTTAGTTTGCTACTGACTGCACCTCCTAGGCTTTGCTACTCCCCCCCCCCCCAAATCTCGATCCCTGTTTTTTGTAGACTTACTTTTAAGAAGCCCTGTCCTACTACTATAAGAAAACTCTCAAATTTATTAACTGGCAACCTGTAAGTAAAAATATCTTGGAGAAAACTACTATTCAGTGTCCATAGTGGCCTCGATTGCTATAAATAACGTAATTTTTTTACCTGTAAATATCCATAAATTAGGTAAAATACAAAAACTCCAGCAACACATATGAAAAATTGAGTAAGTTTGTTAAATTTGCTGAGATTTATGCCAAGTACTACGATGTCATCAACTGACTTGATGTGTGGTGACATTGTTTGGGTTTTGGATGGCACAGAGATAGAAACATATTTCCTGGAGCTGTTGAACTTGAGATCCATTGTTCTTTTATTGCTGCATTCAGTGTTTTCAAAGTTATCTTTGTTGGATTCCTCTCTTCCGTTCAGTCTTTCTTTTGTTTGCTGTACCAGGTCCTAGAAAAAGAATTAAGTAATTTAACCAAATTATTTAGAACATAAACTATTATATTTCAAATAATATTCTAAACTATACTTTAAAATTATCCAGATAAATCTAAGTCTCTCTGGATATTAATAAATTAATTCTTCTATTCCAGCTTCTAAACAACCAAAACCAAGATGTCTAATATCCCACTTTTCTCTCTAATCCAGATTAGTACATCACTAAACTGAATATACACCACACTTATTTCCACAGCAGCAAACTATAGCTAACTTAATATTTATTTTACCAAAGAACTAAGCATGGCTTTATGTTTCTACATATATAGTGAATATTTAACAAAGTATACAATGGTTTATGCATAATACTTTCAACATTGCAATCTTCACTCGTAAAAATAAGGGATGCTTCCTCAAATACTAAGAAAACTATAAAATAAACTCATTAATGAAAACTTTTAAAATAAAGTCAAACCGTAAGTTTCTTTAAAAGCTAGATTTATCATAGACTACAGAAAAGATAATATGCTTTAGCAATAGCATTTCATGTTACAAATTTATTCTTTAGTCATTTGAAGAAAAGGATTTTATTTAAAAAGTCTTTGGGATGTAAGAAGTTGCAAAATGTATCATTTTTTTATTGGCCTATGCAAAAAATGATGATAGTACCATAGGTGACTTAATTTCTTTGGATTTATATACACTGAAAAAATTAATTTCAGATGAAAGCTGAGGGAAGCCTGAAAGAAGAGTACAGAGGCCAGGGGGTAGCTTAGTGGTAAAGCAATTGGACCCACATGAGAAAGGTTCTGGTTTGGTCCTGGGACCTCTCTGAGCAAGCTTCACGATCACTTCTGGTTTCCTGATTTACTGAGATTAACTAGGCCCCTTTCATTAAAAGGAGGTGGTCCAGATTTTAAACACTACCAATATTCAGACATCAAACATTTGCATTATAGGGCACCTGCCATATTTCTACAGAAAATATGAAATTTTACAGTTTTACTGTGTTCCTTTTATTTAATTCATCTCTTTACTTTCTTTTTGCTTCCCACACTGTGAGTCAATCATTGTCATCTCTGAGTAAGACTTTACATCATCTTGAAAGATACTCTTTAGATGTGACTGTCTTTGTAAACTATGCATTAAATGATATCCTCTCAACAATGGGTCAAACTTGTGCTATCTGAAGAAGAAATAGAAACCTTAACCTACTATTTTACTATTGTATTTTTCATATGTACAGGCATAAAAATAAGAGCACCATTTAAGTAAATCTGGACCCATACAGGTTTCTGTGCTTCTCCCACTTTGAATAAAGCCCTAACTCACCCATGTCTCATTCATGAAATATACCACTGACTTTCAAATACCGTTGTCTTCTGTACATAATGTCCTTTCAGCTTACTTTCTTTCTCTGGGTCAGGTTTTGAAATCAGCTTTAGTGTCACCCTCTTTGTGACATCCTCCCGAATGTCCCCAGTTGGGAGAAGACAGAACTTTTGAGTTTCACATCTCCGTTTCCAAATGCTTGATACTTCTACTCATAAGCTCTACTTGTACCTCTTATTAATAATCTCTAGAGCTGAGGTACTAAGTATAAAATACAAGTTAAAAACATGGAACCTATTTTAGTATTCTTCTGTTTTGTCAAGATTCCTGTTGACTGCATCTATAAATATACCAATAACCTGTTTCTAATTCTACCATCAAGTATCTGTTTTCTTTTGCCCCAATGCCAGATTAGCCTTCATCTCTTCTTCCCTGCATGACCCATTTTTCACACTATTCAACATAAATTCTGATGACCCTACACCCATGGTTAAGGCTCTGTAAGTTAAAAACTACTCCTGAACTCTTATAATATATTACACATATTTTTATAAATACCTATATCACAATAGTCTTAACACTTTTATTTTTACAGTTGATTCTCCTATAAGCGTATGAATTCTTTAAGGAAAGAATCGGTGTTGTCTTCATATTATGTTCTAGCAAGTAACAGAAGTGTAAGATATGAAATGAAGAACTTTACTGCACTTTATACCATTTAATCAGCATTATCCTATTCTAATACTTTAACACTTTTAACACACCTCTTGGTAACCTGGTGAGCTTCAGATGTAGGCAACGCATGCAGTTATCTGTCTTTGTGGGGCAAGGGAAAAACATCAAGCATAGAATTAAAATTTGTTTTCTATAAAAGATCTGCATTTTGCTTTGCTTAGAAGATCACAATAACCCTTGAAACTAAAATATGTGTGGTGTGTGTGTTTGTATGTATCACACTGCCAAATACTTGATACCTCCTAAAGTCAACACACACACACACTTTAGTCCCTCAAAGGTACAAATAACTAATATAGAATAAAAAGGTAGCATTTCCAACACATAGTGGGCATTTAAAATACAAACAATTGGTGATAACGCTTACGACGACCAATTGATGCCAAAATTATGTTTATTAAGTTAATCTTTTCCAATATGAAGGATGCAAAATCTTCCACCACAAAGAAGTGAGCATGAAGAAAATCTGTTGTTATGGTAGGAGGGTATGAGTAACCTGAAAAAAATGTGATTCCATCCACAGTTTCTCACACCCAATGTTACAGATAAAAGAATCCTGCCATGATACCTCATTTAAGTACACTCTGGATATTAATCATGGCCTATGGGTTATGTTATACACAGAAAAGCAGGATTCTGTCTGATATTTTTGTAATCAGAGAGCATTTTTGAAGAATACAGAAAGCTAAAATTAGAGCTCTATATAGTAATGAACGGAGTACAAATGACCTAAGTTATTTTCAAATGTCACCAGTATTACTTTTCCAAGCTCCAAACTATCACAATTCGCTTAGGAAAACGTTTAGTAATTAAAAAACAATTTGACGTTTAATCAAACTGTACAGGAAATTCAGATGTTGCCCAAGACTTACAAAAAAAAAAAAAAAAAAAAAAAAAAAAAAAACCTCAAAAAACCA